CCCCAAAACCCCAAAACCCCAAAACCCCAAAACCCCAAAACCCCTCTGATTATATAAGAATAGAAAGGAATATTTAATAATATTAAATATGAGAGCTTTAATTATCACTGCACTCGCCGCTGTTGCCATTGGACTCTTCATGGTCTCCAGTGAGCACCCAGACTCTGTCGCTTTGAACGATTTCAGTAGATTCGTCCAAGATTTCGGAGCTTCTTATGATAGTGACGACGAATACATGTTCAGACTTGAGGTCTTCAAGAGAAACATGGCTACCATCGAAGAACTCTCTGCTAGACATCCACTTGCTACTTTCGGTGTCAATAAATTCGCCGATAGAACTCAGGAAGAAAAGGATGCCTTGGTAAACAGAGGAAATACCAGAAGATCTCAGAACAAGCAATACACTAATGTCTGCAAATCCTTTGATTTGAAGGACACTGGTAAGGATGGAAACTGGCTCTCACTTATGGGAGAAGCTAGAGACCAAGGAAGCTGTGGTGGATGCTGGGCATTCTCTGTATCTGGTGTTGTTGAAGGACAATATGCTATTAGCAGAGGATTGAGCAAGGTTGACAGAAGACTTTCTCCACAATTCTTGATTGACTGTGACCCAAAGAACTCTGGATGCGGAGGTGGATTTGAATCCGACGCTTTCGATTGGTTGGAGACTCACGATATGTGCTTCGATGACGACTACTCTTATACCGCTAAGACCGGATCATGTAAGAAACAATGCACTACTGGTATCAGACCAAAGAGCTGCCATCAGGTTGGATATCATAACTCCAAGAACGCTGCTATTGCCATCCAACATGGACCAATTGATGTAGCTATTGATGCTGATGACCTCTTCCACTACCAAGGAGGAATCCTCACTGGCGGATCTAACTATGGACTCAATCATGCCATCATGGGAGTTGCTGTTACTCGTAACGATAAGGCTGCTAATGGAGATTCTCTCGACTCAGTCACTATTAGAAACTCTTGGGGACCATCATGGGGAGAAAGCGGAAACTTCAGAGTTGCTTTGGAAAGCAATGCCCTCGGATGGAATGAAGACGCCAACTATGTTACCTTCTAATTACTTTTATTAGAGCTAAAGATTCATCTATACCTCTCTTTTAATTCGTTGATCGCCTTTTGTATTCTGATTCAAAATTGGAGATTTTTGGGAATCTTTTCAAGCTGCCTACTAGTTAGAATGTATAACTTTTAAAGAAATTTAAGTAATCGTCTGGGGCGAGTAACAAATTGAGTTTGATGTACATTATAACCTCAAGGAATCATACTTTTCATCAACTTTGTGATTGGATATCACTACCAAGAGGTATAGCTACATAGGCACTAAGAGTTTTGGAGACTCAATAAAGAAATCTGAAACCGGAGAATAATTTTAGCTAGTCTATTCAAATCTATTTAGTTGCTTTACTTCCTATTGAGACCTATCATTAATTTGATCCTGATTTATCAACCTCACAAAAGATGGGGGAGTACATTAAGTTACTAGTAAAGGTTAATTCTAGAAGTTTTAAGCACTAATAGGTTAGAACCTTCTCCATTTAGGCATCCAGGTTATAATTTTACGAATAATATAAGCCAATAGTTAGCATAAATATTGGGGTTTTGGGGTTTTGGGGTTTTGGGGTTTTGGGGTTTTGGGG